CATTAATGTGCCACAGAATCCACGGTAATCGCAAGTTCGTTGTCTTCTTCGCTATCATTTAACGAAGGAGCCAGATTATTGTGAATTCTATCGGGAAGAGCGTCTTCATTGGCACTAATTGGCTCCCTGCCTTGAGATACATGTTCGTTATTTCTCAGCTGGTCGTCCCCTAGTTCATAATACGTCTCTCTCGTGAGTATCACGGCTGGTGTAGGGTCTGGCAGTTCGTCAATAGAAGTCATTGATTCGTACGAACGTAAAACCATATCATTATCTACCGTTGCTTCTTGATCTGTAGTCTCGTGTCGGTTGTTCATCTTTTCCCCAGATCTCAAGTAGGCGTCTCGCCGGATTCGCCGCTTCCTGTTCAAAGAAAACAGTATGAGTAGGTTGATATTCTAGAGTCAGTACGCCTCTGGGAGTGTCACGTGATAAATATGTCCAAGTACGTCACCCTTGTCAACCATTCTCGTTCGCAGCTAGTTGTGACGTCACTAAAATCAGCAATACGACTTGGTAGACTTATGGTTAAATTAAATACTGCGCTTTTGTAAAATACTAGTATTCAAGATGCGGTGACTGTAAAAGCAGTCAACCAACTGGCAACGAGCTCATTGCTGCCGATGAAATGAAGCAGAATATAGCACACAGAAACCCGCAAACGTTCTATATCGCATGCTTTAAATCTAAACTGACGCCGGTTTTTGCTATTTCATCATGTAGCGCTACCGTCACGGTGCGGCGGTGGATATCGTCAATTAAAGGGGCGATATCTTCGCTAATGAATATGAATGAATGATGAAGCCCGAATTAACCACTCAAAAAAAAACACTAAAAAAACAAAGTCACTTACCTTACACAGTAAATAAAGACTGTAACCACAATTCCAATCACGATGCCAATAACCATGGAGAGGGCTATGGCAGTAACAACAGCCGCTAAGAATAATCGGGAAAATAATTAACGACTAAATATTACACGAACAAACGTTGAACAATTTTGGGATTTTAAAATTTAGAATTAAAAATTAATCACAATATTTCAATTAAGAATTGCGTTGACACAATTTTGGACTTTCGGACAACTTATTTCAAAGTACGTTTCAGCCAACAGTGTAATTTCATCAAGTTAGTGGCCTACATTGTCACTTATTTGCCGATACACATATTTACAAAAAATCTCAGATGAACGTGCTACTGGGTGTACCGAATAAAGCCTTATATACATATATTTGAAAACATGTTAAAGCGGGAGATTCGTCACCTGCGCATGCGTCAGATGTTCATAGCGTGTCATTGTTTACAAACAATCGTCTACCCATGAGCCTTTGCGTTTTAGTGGACTCAATTCCTGCGCGTGCGCAGGTGACGGCCCTCCCGCTTTAAACTAGTTGAGCAATATATTTCTGTCAGCGTTGATTTTGGAAGCAAATAACAACCGTTGTGCACTGAGTAGTATGTCAGATTACTATAGTGACAACGCTGTACTTACCGTCAAGTCCCTCGTCGTCCTTTGGCAGCCTAGGCAGTGAATCACCGTCCTGTTCTGTCGTTGATATCAGAAAACCGTTTCCCGACAAGTTAATTTCTATGTGGAAACATAAATTAACAATTATCAGTCTCATTGTCATACTACTATTACGTTTATTTTCTCTCAAGTAATTTGCCCAGACGATATCGATGGCGTCTCTGTAGTAGTGGCTTTATGGGTACAAAAGTAACTACTGGAGGGCGCGATTTTGGCACGTAACATTGTTTGGGCGTGAATTAACGCAGCATGTTTACCTTGGTGACAATTTTTCCCAGTCCAGCCTTGCATACAATCACACAAATAGCCAGTATGCGCGTTGCTACACGAACCATACACACATGGATCGGACGCACAACTATTGTCAATATCTATAAATATAATAAAACCGGTGTGGTAATTTCAAAGTTTCAACAGATTTTGCCGTGACGCATATCTTTGTTTTTACGACGGGTAACAACATTATTTCACAACAAACGTAATCGCGATATCCGTGATTGAAAAAGACGTGTGTATGTGTATTGTGTGTGGAGAGGGGGGGGGGTCTACCAACCTATTTCACAATTGACTCCAATAAACCCTACTGTACACGTACAAACGAACTGTGGGGTGTTTGGGTCCTGGTAACAAGTAGCGCCATTTAAACATGGTTGATCTTCGCATCTTGTCTCATCTACAAACATAAACGTAATATAAAAGAATTACACCAGGAAGATAACAACAACAACCACAACAATGCCAACAATGATGCAACCGCTACTTCTACCACCAAAAAACAAAACAAAAAAAAAAACAAACAAAAAAAAACAGTCCTAACATTACAAAATACTAGTAGGCAAGTATACGGTGCTATATTTACTTGGCTAGTGGGCGAACATTTAAGACCCACATCAAAATGAATTGGATATTGAAGAATGCTGCTATGACAACACGAGTCGCTGAAATCATCAAGAAAGTACAATGATGAAGTACATGGAAACAAAGCACTTTAGCACACAAAGCCAAGTTTATTTCACACGTCATATTGAAAATATCTGGAAATGTATTACATGAAGATTCGAAAAAACTTACATAGTTCACACAGCATGCCACCGTAGCCTTCTTCACACGTACACACAATCATGTCACCCGATTGTACACACGCACCACCATTCTGACACGGCTCACTACTGCACAGATCAGGCACTACAGAAGGTTAACACAGCAGTATTCTAAACAGAAAGCTATTTGGTGCGTTATATAATATGGTATTCGTGGCATGATTCTAAGGTAACCAGTATTGGTAGGTGCATGAAGGTTTGGGATTGGAGTTACAGCGACGCAGTAGATGCATTGCATTTAAAGTGAAAAGAGACAATGAACCAGTGCCCCGATTTCGTTATATTACATATGTTTAACGTGATATCACGAATAGCATAAAGAACATATCATTTTAAATAAATGTGTTATCGCAGTATTGTGGCTAAATGACGCATGACTCCAGCAGCAAGTCTCATAAATACTCACTTTCACAGAATTCTCCATGGTAATGGATTTAAGTGAAAAGAGACAATGAACCAGTGCCCCGATTTCGTTATATTACATATGTTTAACGCGATATCACGAATAACATAAAGGACATGTCATTTTAAATAAATGTGTTATCGCAGTATTGTGGCTAAATGACACAAGACTCCAGCAGCAAGTCTTATAAATACTCACTTTCACAGAATTCTCCATGGTAACCGTGAGGGCAGGTGCACGTCTCGGCGATGCCGTCTCCTCCACATACACCGCCATTCAGACAAGGTTGAACACCACACAAGTCTGTCGATCTAGCTGTCAAAAACAACCAAACAATCAACACACAATACATCTAAAAGTCGCGCCCCCAGCGGCGAAGCACCCATTTGACTTAAAACGGCAAAAAACAAAGGCTATTCACAGCGCCGAAAGTGTTTGGGTAGGTTGTCGTCCTTCAATACAAAATGGCTATATTGTAAATAACGAACAACACAGTCAAAGACAGTTCTCGTTTTGAATGGAAACGCGTTCATGCATATACGTCATTTTGGCGTCACAAGAGCACTTGTCGCTAGAGGGCGCGACGTACAGAACATAGGTATTTAGGTTATGTTTTAGTGCAGCAATAAAGCGCAGTGCGTCTGTTTCATATTTCCACTATCGTTAACGATGAGATTATATTGATAATCATGAATCTAAGAATAGCGGGTTACCTTTTCGGGCTGTTGATATTTTTTCCAATAGTGATGACGTCACTGTAAACCAACTTGTAGAATTTCTGTTAATTAAAACTCTGGGTAAACGGAAGAGGAAAATGGTCAATTGAGTAAAGAAGTGTTTCAAACCAGGCGAATAAAATCAAGTACACCCTGCTTACTACTTACATTATTTCTAAATTGTCGAATACAGGTGTGACCGATTTCCATCGTAGTTTAAGGCGAGTCTTGTTACTATTTTCCTTATTGCGTATATTGTAGAGTATGGCAGTATCAGAAGGTGATGCACAGCTTGCAGTTTTGATATCCTTCCGCGCATCGTCCAATAAAGTCCACCCACCAATTGCAGTTAATTTGTCGAGAGGGCGCACTTGAAGTTCCAACGACGTCCAATTTCTCGAGAATACGTGAATCTCAACTGTTGAAGAAATAAATTGCAAATGGGTTGTGTTATTCCAACGCTGACGACTACACCGTCGCAACTAACGTCGTGTCAAATATATGTCACGAGAGCATCGCCGTGACGAGAGTATGACGTGGGACAATATGGACGTGAACGCGCCTTTCTTATAAGTTGCACCTTCTATCCACGAATAGCTTTTATGACGTAAACCTGTATATTTTATTGATGAGCGGTCATTCGTTAAAAACAACTAGCGAACGACTTCAAAGTGTTATCTATTTCAATGGTACGCCCATCCACACTATTTTGACATCACAGAAGCATTTCGTCGCTAGGGGGCGGGACTAATAGTATTGAATGAATTAAAAGATCGCCATATTCTAATTTGCAGTTTATCCCACTCACTGATTCCGGTGGATACTGAACAACCTCACAATGTTATGGCAATAATCCTTAGTAATATAGTTATTATCGGCTACGTCAACAGTACACAAGAATCGCCACTATTGAGTGGTGGTGAGGTAAAAGAATGTTCTTTAGAGCCTCTGTTCAGACTATATTAGAAACGGCACTGCCCGAAGACCGATCTTATGGATTCCAGACATGTTTC